TGTGCCAAGGGAGGGACCTGCTCGCCCAGTGCTGGGGGGCTCAGCTGTGCCCTGCAGGGGGGGAAGTTTTAATTTAAAGCTTCGGCTTTGATTCATGGCACCCGGGGGGTGGCTGGGGCGGGACGCCCGTCCCATGCTGCCACGGTGGCTATTGCTATCGACGTTGGGGTGCCCCCTGTACCCCGAGACGGGGCTGGCCCCAAGGGGAGGGCACAGAGCGAGGAGGAGGAGGGTGTCAAGGGGTGGGGGGGGTTAAATCAGGCACCATTGCAAGAAATGGCACGCGGTCCTGCAGTCAGAGGCTCAGGCTCAGCACCTTCCAGGGTTCGGCCCGTCCTGACAGTACCTTTTGGGGGGGTTGAGGGGGGAAAGGAGGAGGCAGGGGACGCCCCCATCCGTGCTGTGGGGTTGCATCCAGCCCCAACCCTTGGAAGTGGTACCGGCCCGCTCCCAGCCTGCCGGGATCCGGCTCCAGCGGTGGCTGGAAGCGGGAACACTTAGTGGGATGGGGACAGGGAAGCGTGTCCCCACCTCCCTGGGACAGACCCCGTGGAGCATTTTGTACCTCAGCCCAGGGGGACCACAGGGACAGCACCCGGCCATGGCGTCACCGGGCAGAGCTCCCCAGCCAACCCCAACCCTCCCTTCGCGCCTCCATCCTTCCCCCAAAACCCATCACATCCCAGCAACCCCAGCAATGGGGGGGTCCCCCAGCTCCTGAGCCGTTATGGCTGCGGGCAGCAAAATCGGGGTCCCCATTGTCCCGGCTGCCCAGTGCCTCCCAGTCCCTGGAGCTGGGGTGGGAGGGAACCGACTGAGCGCCTGCTCCCGGCTGGTTTGGTTTGCCACGGTTCCAAACATTTGCCAAACCCTGGGAGCTGGGGCGGGAACGTGCTGGGGATGGGGTCACGGAGCGGTGACGCTTGCTGGTGGCTGGGAGGGTGCTTACACCCCTTGTATACGCCTTTACATACATTCATGAGGGACCCCCCTACACCCCCACGCTGGCAGCAGTGGCGGGATGGGGCCACCTGGTCCAACAGGGTGTTGCTTGGGGTGTTGCTTGGGGTGTTGCTTGGGGTCAAGCTGACAACAGCGGGATGGAAACCCACCGCTGCCTGGCCCATAGGTACGAGTGTGCGTATGGCAGGGACACACACACAGGCGGACCCCAGGGCTGGTCCTGATCCTCTGGGACCCCCGGGGCACCCCCTGCTTGCGGCTCTGAGGGTGGGAAAGGGGGGAGCCTGCCCCGAGTGGAGGCTGTCCCCGAAGTCAAGGCACAGGGAGTGGGAATGGGCCGGGCCGGGGCTTTTTTTTTCTGGGGGTGAAAAAAGAACCTGGGCGTTGCATATATGTATGTACATACAGACAGGTATATACACACATACAGCACCTCCCTGCTGCCTCGCACAGGGGTCTGGGTGGGATGGGGGCGTCTGGGGGCAGCGCGTGTGCAGCCCCTCG